GGCAATCAACTACTGGACCACCCAGGTGCCTCCAAAGAGTTTATATTCTTCAAAGAAACCCCAAACCACTGTGGAGTCAGAATGTGGCTTCTCATCGCCTCCCCTGAGGTCGGCCCGACTTGGGGCATGTGATCACTGGGATCCGTTTAGGAACATTTGGGAAGTTTCTCAGCGGTGTCTTACCTGCTTACCTTGTGGGGTGTCCTTTCCCTGGCAGGTGTTTCAGAGGCAGAAGTCCAAGCAGGTGTTAACCTTGGGCATCCAGGAACCCCACACATAAGTGTGATTTGGGCTCCCTCCCCGCCATGGACCCCCCCCCATCCTGAAGGTCAATAGGACCCCCAGGACATTCAAAGCATGGCACCAGGCATCAGACACTCAGGAATGTAGCTTCAGAAGACATTTCGACTCTTTTCCATCCTGAGAAACCCAAGATGGTAATGTAGGAACTCCTTGAGTGGGAATGGGAAACCAGGATGGGATCCCCTGAGCCTCCTGGTAGGCGTGAGCCTCGCCTGTGGTCTAAGGGCTGGCTGAGCTGGATCCCCAGAATGACCCGTAAAATGTACAAAGGCATGTGTGCCTCCCACGTGTTGATTGAGATGGGAATCCGGCGCTGGGGATTATCCTGGTGCGTGGAAAATCAGTTGCACAAACCTCATTATAGCTAATAGTTCTGTAATGTTATTTTCCCCCCTAATTTGTAGAGATACTTTTCTCCATCATTGATTTATTGAAATATTTAATGGCATAATACAAATGAGAAAAACAATCCACGGTGGAGGCACAGAGTGGACGCTTCAACAGCTGGCAGGCTTTCCTTACCCACTCAGGACCACGATGGAAATGATAGTATAGACAGATCGCCCAGTGAATTACAAGCGATGTCTGAAATGTGGAATGCGCTAATTTTGGCAAAGAAAAATTAGCAAAATAAAAACGAGAACATTTTCTTCTGTTAACTCAGAAGGAAATTCTCTTGCTATGACTCTCCCTCCCCCAGTATTTTTCAATGTAAACAGATCGCTAAATTGTTCTGTGTTGAGATTCTATATCAATATTTTAAAACTTTTTTTTTTTTGAAAAATGAACACAATTCCTGGAGCTGTGACAGAGCGCTTAAAATAAAATGTGGCCTTTAGGTGATGGCAGAGGAAGAGGAAATAATTTTTTTTCTTCAGTAGCAGGAAAGCATTACAGAAACATTAATGCAAAAGACACTCAGAGAACCCACTCCAGAAGAGTTCAGACCTACTCAGAACAGTCTGAGAATACCTCTCACACAAGTCCCTTAATTGCAATGGTTTAAGCAACATTAATTTTAAAAGAGCCCTTTTTTTCTTGAGTCTCTTACAGCATAAAATTGTCTATTTTATTTTTTTTAGATTTTATTTATTTGAGAGCGAGAGAGAGAGTTAAGGGGAGGGGCAGAGGAGAGAGAGAGAGTGCTGGTTCTGCACTGAGCTCAGAACCTTGATATGGGGCTTGATCCCACCACCCTGAGATCAGGACTTGAGCTGAATATCAAGAGTCAGATGCTCAACTGACTGAACTACCCAGTTGCTTCTTGTCTGTCCTCTTAGAGGAAAAAAGACTGAATAATTCAGTCAACATTTAAAGCCCTTAGACTACTTCCTCATGACTTGCTCATAGTAAGTGCTAAAGGCATTTACTAGAAGCCTGCTTGTGCCAGGCCCTGCAAAGTGCTATGGAGATACAAAAATGGATGGATGGATGGATGGATGGATGGATGGATGGATGGATCATGGATGGACGGATGGATGGTAGATGGATGGTGGATGGATGGACAGATGGATGATGGATGGATGGATAGTTGGATGTATGGATGCATGGATAGATACATGGATGGACAGATGGATGGATGGATGGATGGAAGGAAGGAAGGAAGGAAGGAAGGAAGGAAGGGTAAGTGGGTGGATGTATGTATGGATGGATAGATGGATGGGCAGATGGAGGGTAGATGGATAGAAGGAAGGAAGGAAGGAAGGAAGGAAGGAAGGAAGGATAAATGGGTGGATGGGATGGATGACTGGATAGATGGAAGGATGAATGGTAGATGGATGGTGGATGGATGGATGCATGCATGGACAGATGGGTGAACAGATGGATGGTAGAAGGAAGGAAGGAAGGGTGAGTGGGTGGATGGATGGATGACTGGATAGATGGAAGGATGAATGGATGGAGAGATGGATGGATGGGGAGATGGGTCACATCAATAGATGTTTACTGAACTCTTGAAAAACTCAAGGGCCCAATGATGAGAATAGGTAAATGTGAAGGAGTGCTCAGAAAGCCCATTGGTAGGAAGCAAGCTGGAGTGTGGAGTGAGGTCAAGAGGAGTCAGAAAGGAGAAATGACCTTGTTGATTTGCCTCCACCCCTGCCCTTAGACTATGAATTGCTTATATGAACAGAAATCTCACCTGATTCCCCGACAGAGCCTGAGCAAAGAGTGAGCACTTCAGTATCTGTGGGATGAACGTGTGGGTGGGTAGGAGGCAGCAGAGAGGAAGATGGGGCCATAGTGCTCCCGAGGCACAGGGAGTAGCATATGTAGAGAAAATGCTCCCTCTGCACCCATTATTCCCAGGTTATTCTTGTGCAAAACTCAGAATGGACATCTTAGCAGTTATTCCATGTGCAAACCTCAATCTATTGGCGGCCAGTGTGGGGCAGGCGGGGGGAGGGGTGGACTTAAAGCTATGGCTTGCCATTTTGACATTATTAATGGTAATGGGTACCTCGGTAAGAAATGAGTATAAATGCGAATGTTTAGAAATAAATAATCATCATGCTATTTTTCTGCCTGTGCTGAAATTTGTACCTTTAAAATCTCATTCACAGCCATTCCTTCATTAACCTGTGGCTGCAAGGACTTAATCGGTGCAAACTCTAAATCCTATGCAAATACGGACTTATACACTAGCAATTTTCTTTCTGTGTACTGTTGGGCTAATCCACTTGAGCATATCTGGTGTTCCGAGGTGCATGATAAGGTTGGAGCCAGATAACCCTCAGCCCCCGGAAGGCTGTCGGCATGTGCGCATGCATATTCAAACGTGCCTTTCCTCTCCAGATCTCCTGGTCTTTTAAAAAGATCACATACCTGTGCCTGTAAAAGAAATTGTAATTCATGGAGGATCAGTACTTCAAATGAACATTTTGGCCTCTGAGCCCACTTTTTACCAAACCACCTCCTTCGAGATTGGATTTATATACACTTTGTAGGACGCTGCTTGCTCTGTGTACCGCACCGTTAGAAGCACTTTATGAGTATTACCTTTGTTTAACCCTCAAAACAAATCTATGATGTAGATTTGCTTGTCACCATTGGTTGTCACCATTCTGCAGTTGAAGCCCAGAGAGGTTAGCAATTCTGCCTCAGGTCACACAGCTGAGGTGTGCTGGGGCCAGGCTTGGCACCAGGACTCTCTAGCTCCAGACTCTGTCCTCCTTCAGCCACGGTGCTCTTCTGTCTCTGCGATTTTGATGACATCGCTGATCACATTTCCTTGCCCCTTTGGTAGAATGCCCCAGAATCAGATCTATTGGCTTCTTCCTGTGTCTCTGCATCCTAACTTTGTGGCTTTAATTTCAATTTATGAACGTTTTCCTACATGTCAAGGTTTAGATAAATTTGAAACATGTATGTTTATTGTGGCAAAAAACACATAGCATAAAATTCACCATTATGAATGTGTAGTTCGGTGGCGTTAAGAACATTCACAATGTTACACAGACGTCACCACCGTCTGTCTCCAGAACATCTTCATCTTTGCAAACTGAGACTCTGTCCCCATTAAACACTGACCACCCCTACCCCCAGCCCCAGTCACCACCGTCTACTCTTGTGTGTCCATGAATTTGACGAGTCCGGGGACCTCCTAGAAGTGGGATCACACAGCGTCTGTCCTCTTCTGTCTGGCTTCTTTCATAGAGCACCACGTCCTCAGGGTTCATCCGTGTTGGAGCAGGTGCCAAGATTCCTCCCTTTTTAAGGCTGGATAATATTCTGCAGTATGGATGGACCACATTTTGTTTATCCGTTCATCTGTTGATGGACACTTGAGTTGTTCTACCTTTTGACTATCCACCTATTGTGGATAATGCCATGAACACGAGTGTGCAAGTATCTCTTCAAAATTCGTGTATAATTGTCTAATTTATACTTGGATTTGGTAGCACTGGGGCATAGAATAAAAAGAGACTAGGGCAGGTTGGAGGCAGCAGCCACCCCAAAAGATGAGCAGAGTGGAGGGCAGCAAGGATGCCCTCACACTCTGGGAGTGTGGTGTGCAAGGTTAGGGCAGAGTCCCCGGGGTGAGCCCACGTCCCCGTGCCAACTATCACGAGCGCCCTTCCTGCTGGAGAGCTAGTGACATGTCTGCTCCAAGGCTGCGTGGCATGTGTGATGGCCTCACTGCACTGGCAAGCTGGCTGGTAAAAGACACTGTGGTGTGAAGTCATCTCTGGGCCCCTGGTGGTGTTGTCATTTCCAGTTAGGATGCAAGGGGAGCCCCCCAGGTGTTCCAAAGAATCCAGAAGCCTGGCAGGGGTGCACGGGAGGGCAGGTGATCAGTGCGTGGGCCAGGGAGGCAAGATCCTGGAGTTGAGGAGGGGTGCACACTGCGGCTGGGACCACAGCCAGCCAGAAGGGAGTCAGAAATCCACAACAGAAGATGACAGCAAGTCAGAAACCAGAGGGAGGCCTGGAGTCTGGTGGGATCCAGTGGGATCTGGTGAGATCCGATGGTGAGGAGAACATTCAGGAGCACTGCCCAGCCTGCAGCTTCAGCAGAGTCTGTCCACGGGAGAGGCTGGCCTCCTCCCCAGCCCCCCGCCCCATGCTACTTACCTGGCCTCTGGCTCTCAAATCAGGGGCCCTCAGCCAGGGTGGCTAGGAGTCCACAGCAGGGTAGGCGCCATGTCAAAGGCAGGAAAAAAGCAAACCTAACCTCTGCTCTCTTGTTGTCTCTTCAGATGAAGGCCTATGGGATATGTTTGTGAAGGACATCCCCCGGAGTGCCACATCCTACAGCGTCAGCCTGGACAAGCTCAGGCAGGGAGTGACTTATGAGTTCCGGGTGGTGGCCGTTAACCAGGCGGGCTACGGGGAGCCCAGCAGCCCCTCCATGGCCGTGTCAGGTAGGGAGTCCTGCCCGAGGAAGGAACTCTCAGGGCGAAGCTCTTCCCTCTCAGGGGGCAGGGGGTGACTTGGAGCCACGGTGGAAAGAATCAGGGATGTACTAGGCTTCGTGCAGACTCAATAGGAGTCGGGGGCACAGCCTGGAGGACACGGTGCTAGTGGGGAGAGGTGTACACCCGAGCCCATGTGACCACCACCACCACCAGACCCCTCACTGTCCTCACCACACTGTGCTTGAGCAAGTCTTGATTTCTGTCTCATTTTTTTTGTAATCAGAGACCCAGGCCAGAATCAGAGCAGTCAGCTTGAGCTAAGCAGTGTGCTGTCTGGGGTGAAGGCATCCCCAGGCCCAGTGCAGTCCCTAGCCCCTCCCACTGGCTGAAGTTTCCTTACTTGGGAGCCTTGTACGAAGCATGAAATGCAGAGACCACCCCAGCAGCCGCCGGACCCAAGTTGTGCTTGATCAGGGCCTCCCCCGAGATGGCTGAGGGGCCACCTGGGATGATGAACCCCCTTCTTTCCCAGAGATGACAGACTAGCTGCCCTCACCAGCCATGTGGCAAGAGGTGTGGCAATGGGGGGGAAGTGCCCTCCGGGAGCCAGGAAGCACTTCTTGGAAGAGGGGGGCATGCAGCTGGGTGGTGAGGGGTGCATAGGGGCGAGGACACAGGAGAAAGGAGCAACAGAGATAAAGTCCCAGTGGCGGGACCCCAGGCAGGGAGGACCAAGGAGGCCGGCCTCAGCCCCAGCTACACTTGGCATTATGGGGGAGGCTTGGAGGACCCCCCCTGCGAGGACCCCACAAAACATGGTGTCATGCCACCCAGGGCCCTACAGTGGATCAGCCCAGCAGCTGGAGGGATCGCAGGGAGCAACATGAAGGTGGTTCAGGAAGGTACCTGGCAGCACGGCGCAGGCAGGGGCACAGGCAAGGCCAGAAACCAGACTGACGCCCCTCTGATCAAGAGCAACATGTCGTACTTCCCCTGCACGTAGATTCGTTTAAGCTGCCCACTACCCTGGTTTAAATTGAAAACGTCTTTTGTCTGCTCTTTGCCATGAATTTGGAGGAAGCACAGTGTCCGTGGGCAGGCTGGGGCCCCACGGGGCTGGCAGCCAGAAGGAGACCCAACACACTGCCAGCTTGCTTAACAGTATGACTTAGAAAAAATCAAAATTTTCTCATTTCCTCCATTTTTCTTATGAAAAGTTTAACATAAGAGAGACAAGAGAATAAGGAATCCCTGGGCACCCATCACCCCAATTGAGAGATTCAAGGTTTGCGCTCCTCGGTTCCTCTGTAAAAAATCCACGTAAAGCAATTTCAAATGCACAGAGCCTTTCCCTGTCCCACATGAAGGCAGCCGAGCGCATAGGCTGGTTCCTGCGGGAGAACACGGCCCCCTGGCCCTTCTGTTCCTGGGCCCGTGGGCAGGCCGTTCCCCCAAAGCCCGTTGCACACTCTTGGCAGCCGGGCTGCTGGGGGACTGCGGTCAGCTTCCTGCGTCCTTCAGAGCAGCCAACAGGTCAGCACCTGTCTGCTCCGCCTCGGGCCCGACAGAAGATCTGCGGTGCTCCCTGGGCTGGAGGCCTCCTGCAGCCACCGAGGCCTTTCTTTTCCAGGCCTGCCTGGGTGGTCAGTTGGGATTTGTTGGCTCATTATATGGAGCACGTTGTGTGCAGCCTGAAAACCACTCGCATATTTGGATTTGAATCCTGCCATCTCCCAAGAAGCCCTGTGCAGTTGCATGATCCAAAGTCAACAACCCCCCCTTTTATCCCCAGTGTGCACACATTTTTCTCCATCGAGGGAGAGATTTAGCATGATTTAGATTTAGATGTGTTTTCTGAGATTTAGCATGATTTAGATTTAGATGTGTTTTCTGTGGGCTTCAGCAGCTGGGAGGTGGACCGTGGGCCTTGCCCACAAGAGGCTTTCCATTCTGTCCTGTGTCCGCTGCCTCCCAGCCAGCTCCCCTGCAGGGGGGCATGTGGAAGGCACCAGTGGGACCCGACGGCCAGCCAACACCTACCAAGAAACAATTCCATTTTTCTGTTCTTTGTAAACAGAATAAAACATGAGCAAGAAGGATATCCTTCTTCAAAGCAACTTTTAAATGAACCTTTTCTGTTTGTCTCTCAAAAAACATATCCAAGGATGGGGATGGGGCCAATTGTTCTGCTCAGTTTTGCTGGAGGCACATAATAAATAAAACACAGCCCCGGCCCTCGGGGAGGCCTGCTGTGGCAGAGGTAGCCAGTGGGGAACGCTTTCGACGAGAGGTTCCTACACAGGTGTGGTGGGGATCCAGCACCAGGAGTGAGCAGGAGTCAGACCACGGGGCCTCACGGGCTTGGACTGTGCCCTGTGGCTAATGTGGGGCCACTGAAGGCTTTTAGGGAGGGACTGTTTGTTTCCATCAGAGGAAGATCTCTCTGGCGACAATGTGCAAAAGGGATTGGGGGAAGTCAGAAGTCAGAAAGAGGCGAAGCTGCTGGAAAGAGGTTGTAGGGTGGTGGCCGTGGTGGAGAGTGTGAGGGGCCCCAGGGGCCAACTGGGAGGCACCTTCCTCCCTTTACCCCGACACCAGCTGTAAGCAGATGAAATCAGGGGAAGTCACGGGAAGGGTGGTGGATGGACGAGGACAGGGCGAGCTCTGGGCCAGGAGCTGGGCTCCAGAAGGGCCAGAGCCGGTTCCCACCGAGGAGGAGCAGCCCACTGAGGGGCCCATCGTGGCCGAGCTTATGTCTGGGAAGCCAGCCAATCAGCCACCTAACCCATCTCAGGTGGGGGGTTCATCTTTCCTGTGACTCCAGTGCTGCCCGTCACACCCTCCCCCCACCCCCCTGCACTAGAAGCCCCACCACCTGGTCCGGAGACAGGTGGCAGGAGTCTGTCACGGGTGACCGTGTGTTCATGTGCCCTGCAGCTCAAGTGGAAACCCCGTTCTACGAGGAGTGGTGGTTTCTCCTGGTGATGGCGCTCTCCAGCCTGATAGTCATCCTGCTGGTGGTGTTTGCCCTGGTCTTGCACGGACAGAATAGAAGATACAGGAGCTGCAGCACAGGTGGGACGCCTGCCTTGACTCCCCTACCCCCTACCCCCCGCCTCCAAAAGTGCCTGGGCACTGGGAAGCCAAAATGTTGACTTTCTCTCTCTCTCTCTCCACCCGGGATCCATGGTGTGGGCATCCACTCTGTCTTTGTTGGCCTGCGGGTGATAAAGTAGGTGCAGCAGATTTCCTTTGGGAGGCAGCTCGGCGTAGTACACCCAGGTTCTGGACCTGGCTCTGCCCGCCAATGAGCCTCATGTCTTGGATCCGTCACGTGGGTGGTTTGGGCCTCCCTCAGTCTGTTGCCTCATCTACACCACTGCCCAAATGCAACAGTATTTTTTCACAGGACTCGTAAAGTGTCAAACAAATGAATCACACTACTCAGTATCACGAGAACAGTGAGCTGGGTGCATCTCAGAAATGCAGGTGTGGCTCCTGGAGCCACATGTGGAAACACTCTATGGGTACAGCCACAGACCAGCTTATCCCTCGCCTCATGCCCCTCATTCCAGCTTCCAGCCCTCTGACGCCTGGCTCACCTTTGCATTCCTCAGTATAAGGGCCAGGCCTGGCACACAGTAGGTGCTTGATAAGTGCTTGTTGCTGCATGGATCACCCCCATTAGAGAAACGGACAAATGGACATGGCGCAAAGCTGGACTCCATATATAGGAAGGTCAGGAACAACCCAAATGGGTGGGGGTTTCTAGAAGACAAAACGTGATTGTCTCTTGGCATAGAAGCACAGAGAAGCTTCATGAGGGAACCTCTCGGGGTTCTGGGAGTGCTCTGTTCTGTATCTCTATGCCAACGGTGGGTTATACACGTAACACAAAACACTCCAAAGGCTTCAGATTAGTACACTTGATGGATTTTATTTTTTAAAATTTTTTGAGAATTTTTTAAAAAATGTATTTATTTAATCATGAGAGACGTAGAGAAAGGGGCAGAGACACAGGCAGAGGGAGAAGCAGGCTCCATGAAGAAAGCCTGATGTGGGACTCGATCCCAGGACTCCAGGATCACACCCTGAGCCAAAGGCAGGCACCCAACCACTGAGCCACCCAGGTGTCCCTATTCTCCTCAATTTTAAAAAAATTGTCATAATTACCCCTGAGACCCGTTCTTTGCACCACTAGAATGTAATTCTGGACTGTTCCCACTCCACACAGCTATAGCTGGGCCACATGCGTGACCAGCTCTCTGGTGTCACTGCAGAGGCAGGACAGGTCACACAGCTGGAGCTTTCTCCACCAGCCCACCTGCCTTTGTTTCTTAGGAAGGCAGATCCCTGATGGGGTTCTCCCTCAGACGAGTGGGCACGTGGGCTGCTGGGGATAAGGCACTGGGCTGAGCGGCAACCCTGGCCTCCACACTGACCCCCCCCCCCCACCGCAGCATCTCTCACTGTGCCTAGAGGGTTAACAGAGCCAGGCACCTCTCCATTTGCTTTCCTAACATTAAGCAATTCATCCCTCCAAGAAAGGATTTATTTTTTTCTGTATAAATTCACTTCTAACAAGTGTTCGTAAATCAGATTTTATTCCTGTGGGATTTACTATGTATGAATGGCATGTCATTTTACTGAGTTAATGCTATTACAGAATCCTGTGTCTGGCGCATAGAAAATCTCCCCGCTTTTCACTCTCCTTCTGCATCTGGAAAACAGGCCTGAAAAGACAGATCTGACCTGCAGCTTCTGATACTGTGCGTCACCCTGGAGTATTAATTTAACATCATAATTGAAGCCTAGGAAAAAAAAGCTACTTGTCTCCTAGCATGTCTGCCTTGCTGTTGGAGCCGTGCAGAACCTAAACCTTCGCTATTATGGCCCCAACACCCTCTTGCGCTTCCTCACACCACCGTCCTCATGGGATTTCCTTTCCAAGAGCCGTTTTTACCTGCTCACCCTCTCGTCCGCCCTGATCCGTGCCAGCCAACAGTTCTGTCCCCCACCTGCTGATCTCGGTTCTGTCCTCTTTCTCTGCTGCACACCCCTTGCACACCTCCAGCTTTTGGGCCGGTCCAGCAGTACTGGGCTCATAGCAGAGAGGGCGCCATGGGGTTCTTAACAAACCTGGAGCAGATCCCTGTCCTGGAGGCTGGGACAGCAGGAGAAAAACAGGTCCTCACCTGCCTCCAGGAGCTGTGTCCAGCCAGGGTGTGTGTGTGTGTGTGTGTGTGTGTGTGTGTAAGGCAGATCATAAGGAAGCAAATATGTAAAAAATGCACAGCGGAAAGCTCTGAGGGCCTCTGGGAGTAAAGGAGGAGGCCTGGGAGATTCCCTCTGGTCCTTGACATTCTGTGAGCTGCGGGAAGAACAGGATAACCCAGAGAATTCTGGGGGAAGAGGGCAGACAGCCCCAGCACAGGGACAGCCTGGATGGGACAGAAGCCATCAGAAACTCTACTGCTCCTTTGGTTTCTCACAACTTCACTGTTACTTGTTTGATCTGCTGATATATCTTAGAATATGTTTTCTTTTTTTTTAAGATTTTATTTATTTATCCACAAGAGACAGAGAGAGAGAGACAGAGAGAGAGAGAGAGAGAGAGAGAGGCAGAGACACAGGCAGAGGGAGAAGCAGGCTCCATGCAGGGATCCCGGGTATCCAGGATCACACCCTGGGCCAAAGGCAGCGCTAAACCACTAAGCCACCCGGGCTTCCCAGAATATGTTTTCATATGTATTTATATACTTGTTTTTTTAAGTGGCTTTTTGTATATTGACAGATATGTGCAGTCATCACTACAGCCAATTCTAGAACATTTTCTCCACGCCAAAATACCCTGTTCCCTCAGCTATCACTCCCTGTAAATCTACTTTCTACTTACTATTTTGTTACCTGGCCGTGAGTTTTTTATTTTGACATGTATTAAATATTTAATTTCCCGATTTTAAAAAAGTTTATGCATTCTGAAGACTCTTTCATAAAACACTGGTAAGAATACCAGTACTTTGGCATCAGGCAACATAAACACGGAAATGTCCGCCATTGTCCTGGACTCGCAGCCTCGGCCCCAGCGCACCTCTGCCTGCCTCGTGAGCTCCAGCAGGGAGCTCTGGGCTCTGCTTCTGGCAGGAAGCCCGTGAACACCTGTAGGCCGGCCAGCGGGGGCTCAGCATAGCTGCAGCCAGCCCTTTACTGGAACATCTGGACCCATTCTCCTGTCCCGGCTGTAGGTAAGAGCATCTCCAACATGGAGGAGTCTGTGACCCTGGACAACGGGGGGTTTGCTGCCTTGGAACTCAACAGCCGTCACCTCAATGTCAAAAACACCTTCTCGAAGAAGAATGGGACCAGGTAGGGACACAGCAGCCGTAACTCAAGTGTGCCACATCTGCCCACAGATCTGAACCAGACAGGACTGGGGGTGCCAGCCACGATGTCACCGTGTCCATGGGCACCCCCAAACTCCAGCAGGGTGGCTTTGAGCCTAGGGGGTTGAGCATGGCAGGGGCAAAGGGCATCCTGCATCCTTTTCTGGAGATACAAAAGGAAGGTGTGTCCCAGGCAGGAGGGGAGTGGTCTCGGGAGGCCTGGCCACCCCAGGCTGGCCCTCTGTGGGCTGGCCCTCTGTGGGCTGGCCCTCTGGTGAGGCTGTGCAATGTCCTCCCACTGACATGACAGTGGCCAGAGAGCGGGGCAGGAGGCCAGAGGGTGGGGCGGGGGAGGTATCTGTGTCCCAGAGCTGCCCTGAGCCCGTGCCCGCCATCCCTGGTGGCCCCATCCTTGCCCTAGGTCCCCGCCCCGGCCCAGCCCCGGCGGGCTGCACTACTCAGATGAAGACATCTGCAACAAGTACAACGGAACTGTGCTGACCGAAAATGCCAACCTCAAGGAGAAGTCGGTGGATGCTTCAGAATCAGAGGTCAGTGGCTGTGGCCGCCATCCCCTGCCTCCGGGAGGAGCCCTCTGCCATCCCGAGGTGCCCTCTGGTCCCAGCTGAGTCTCGCCGCAGCCGCACAGGGAAGCAGGGCCAGTGGCAAGTGACTCCTTTTTGCAGATAAGTAAAGTATGGTGCTTCAGTTCCTCAGGCCTTGAGGTCCTGGTACCAGCCAGCTCTCAGGTCACTACCTCGCCCAGAGGCTTCTGATCCTGAAGCTGGCTCACTTTCCTTTTGGCTTCGAGGAATAACTGTGTTTTATCTCTGGTGGTGATTGTAGAACCTGGTGTCTAGACCCCAGCTGGAGTGGCAGATGGCCTGAGCCTGCCAAATCCAACTTATCTGGGACTGCCCCCCCCCACAACCCCTGCCCCTCCCACCTGCCTGGCTTCCTTCTGTGAAGGGGGATGAGCCAGTGCCATTCTGGGACAGGTACAGGGCCTGGTGAGCTCTGACTTGTCCCTGTCCTCACTGAGCAGATGCACCAGGGAAATCTTGCCCCAGGAGGTTCTCCCCACCCAGGACCCAGGGGCCTGCAGGTATGAAGCCTGCTGAGCATCTGAGTGTTAAAGTGTGAAGCTGAGCACACCCGGGGGCAAGGCCTCTGTCAGGGGAGCAGGCCGGGGAGGATGCCACCCAGGGGCTCAGCACTCCCCCCTACCTCCGCCCCCGGGTGTGCCTTTCCCCACAGCGGTGCTGTGTCAGCGTTACATGAGCAAACCCAGCTGAAGTGACAATTAGAGAGGTGGTCTTCTATCAGTCCTAAACTTTTTTTATTTCACATATGCCAAGTCTTGAGAGAGAGGAAAATCACCAAGCTGTTTGCTGCCCCACCTCTTGGCATTCATACGCTAAATCAATATTTAATCTAAAATAAGTCTCACCTTCATTTGGACCCGAATTCAGGCCTGATTAAGCCCCGAGGCTCAATAAAATGGCTTCTTTTAAAATGTGCTTTGTACATGAACTCCAAGTGAGAGGGGACAGCAGGTGGGTTTCAGTGTGACACGGAGTCCGCTCTGCTTCGAGCTTTCTGTTTACAGAGGACACGGGGCGCCCTGTCTGTACTGCAGCCTTGGGCGTGGGAAAAACAGCAAGCAGTGCTGCAGATGTCCGGAAAGGTACATTTGTCTGAAATCAAGGCGCTGTCAAGTGAAATGCTGCAAAACTGACTTGCCTTTTTGTGATAAGGAAATAGCAGCTCTTTTCATGCTGTGTCTAGCTGCTTGCACCAAAAGCCACGTGTTGGGAATGAGTAGGGATGGCCTTGCAGCAGACAATTCTGGTTCAGCAATTAGAAACGCATTCGCATGGCACCTGCCAGGGGTGTCTTCTGTAATTCTGGGGCCTGAGGCTGTTTAGGGCATTCAGAGCCCACATTCAGTGCTCACAGCCCTCACATATTAGCCGTGCAGGTCGACCTAGTGACAGTCCAACAGATGCTAGGCACCAGTTGAGCACCTACTATGGGCCAGCACACTGATTTCATGCTCATACCAGCCGCATGAAGTAGAGCAATTTTCCTCCTTGGCCAACCAGCAAGATTAAGTCTGAGGTCATCCCGAGCTTGGCTGAGCCCTGGCCTCCACCGTCTTCTCCAGCTCAGCACCCATTCCTACAGTAGCCAGACTTGGACGCATGATTTTTGAACTCTGTTCATGAAAGCATTCTCAGAATGGGTTGATGGGGAGCATTTAGCCTATTTCTCCTCTCACACATGTGGGTTGTTTTGAGATGCAAATTTAGGTGTTTTTTATGGAGGATTTAAAGCTTTTTTGGAGGCACTGAGCTACGCATATACATACATGCCTATATGTGCAAAGCATGTACACCTACATACACACACAGACACAGAGAGTGGAGAAGGGATGAAGGTCTTGGGGGAGGAAGGGAAGAAAGGAGGATGGCAGGTGTCAGAGAGAGGGGTGTGGAATTCATTCTAAATCCTGCAAGGACGTTGTGATGATCCTCATATAATAGAGGGCAGAGTCAAAGCTTATGGAAGTTTTTATGTCTTCCCTGGATGTGCTGATGGTGTGTGGGAGTGGGGGAGCCTTGAGAGGCAGACTTGAGTGCCAGGCTCCCAGTTCTGTCCTGCCCAGAAGACCTGTTGCACAGAATTGAGTTGTCCTAGCTTTACGACTGTGGCTAAGCACCCACCAGAGGGGCGGGCCCTCCTCTCTCAGCAAGCCCTGTGCTAGGAGGAAGGGGCTCCTTTTACAATTCCCACAGGTGCCTCTCAAGGTTCCCAATGCTTTCTGGGTCAAGAGCTCTATCAGGAACCTGATGAGAGGTGTAGATGCTCTCTCTATGTACATGCAGAATTTCATCTAGGATCTGGAGGTCCAGATCCTTCCCCTCCGAGGAAGCTCTGACAGTCGCCTCCAGCTGAAGCCCCATGGAGTCCAGCTGAGAATTCCTATGCCTGGCTTCTGTCTTCTCTCTGGGTCCTTGGGTAGATACAGTGAGGCCCATCTTTTTTTCCAGAGTTCATCACTTTATAATCTTGCTAGATCCTGTCTTTGAACCTTGTACACTTGGGAGATTTGTAGGCACTAAATATTCATGGGGATCCCAACAGAGGGACCTGGGGACGTTCATCATCTCAGAAGTGCCAGCTCAGATGGGAGAGTTTGCTGTGAACCACATTTATTAAACAGCTTGATTGAGATGTAATTCACACACCACACAATTCACCCATTTGGAACATTGGGTATTTAGGAGTATGTTTTTAATTTCCTCATATTTGTGAATTTCCCAAATGTCCTTCTGTTACTGATTTTTTAATTTTCTTCCACTGTGGCCTAGGAACATGCTTTGTATATTTTAAATTCTTTTAAATTTATTGGGTCTTGTTTTATGGTCTGTCCCTGAAGAATGTTCCATACGCACTTGAAAAGAGCATGTTACTCTGCAGCTGTGTGGAGTACTCTGTCTGTGGGGACTGGCTGATTTACGGCACTGTGGAAGTCACCTAGATTTTTGACCTTCTGCCATCCACTAATGTATTGATGTCTCCAGCTATTGTTGAACTGTCTATTTCTCACTCCAATTCTGTCAGTTTAATTTTGTGTATTTTGTGGCTCTGTCATAGGTAGATATATGTTTATAATAGTTACATCTTCTAGATGGATTGACCCTTTCAGTAGTATAGTATGTCCCCTTTGTCTCTGGTAACAATTTTGTCTTCAAGATTACTTTGTCTGATATTACTCAGCCACTCTGGTTCTCTTTTGGTTACTGTTGACATGGTATATCATTTCCATTCTTTCACTTTCAATTTGTTTGTATCTTTGAATCTAAAATGTGTCTCTTATAGATAGTATGTAGCTGGTGCATATCAGGGTTTTGTTTTTTTTTTTTTTTTTTTTTTTTTTGCTCTGCCAGTCTCTGCCTTTTGACTAGATTGTTTAACCCATTCACATTTAATGTAATTACTGCTAAGGTAGAATTTACATCTGCATTTTGACAACTGTCTTTTATATGTCTCATATCTTTATTCCTCTTTTTCCCCCACTTACTTTTTTCTTCTTTAAAAAAGATTTTATTTATTTATTTATTCATGAGAGACACAGAGAGAGAGAGAGAGAGGGGCAGAGACACAGGCAGAGGGAGAAGCAGGCTCCATGCAGAGAGATTGATGTGAGACTCAATCCCGGGTCTCCAGGATCAGGCCCTGCCTGGGCGGAAGGCGGTGCTAAACTGCTGAGCCACCCAGGCATCCCACTCTGTTCTTTTTTTAAGGAAAACTTTCTAATGTACCATTTTAATTTGCTTAATTTTTGCTTTTACTCTGCTTTTCCAGTTATTTTTGTTAGTGGTTGCTCTAGTATCAACATTTACTTAAGATTTATACTAGGGTACCTGGTTAAGCATTCAACTCTTGATTTAGGCTTAGGTCTGTCTCAGGATCCTGGGATTAGGCCCTACATGAATCTCCATGCTCAGTGGGGAGTCTGCTTGAGATTCTTTCCTTTGCCCTGCCCCCCCCCACCCTGGCTCATGCATAAGTGCATTCTCTCTGTCTCTCTGTCGCTCACTCTCTCTCTCTCTCTCTCTCTCTCTCTCTCTCTCTCTCACATACACACACACACAAAATATTTTTTAAGAAAGACTTATACTGAATCTCAGTGATATATAGAAACTTTACTCCTATACAGCTCTACAGCCTCCTCCCCTTTCTATGCTATTATTATACATGTTATGTCCGTATATCCATATGGTTACAAACTCAAGAATACGTTTTGATAGTTACTACTTTACAGAACTATATGTCTTTTAAGGAAGTCAAGAGAGGAAAGGAGAGCAAGTATGTTTCTGGAGTTTACCACTTTAGCCTGTTTATGTACTTTTTCTGGTCCTCTTCATTTCTTCCTGTGGATTCAAGTCACCATTGGGTGCCATTTCTTCACCCAGCTTCCTCCTTTATGCTATTATTGTTAAGTATGTTACATTTCTGTACATTATAGGCCCAACAATACAATCATATACATAATTTATGAAATTGCTTTTTAACTCAGATAAAAGAAGAAAGAAAAAGAAATATGCAGTCATACTATATTTTATAATTACCCGTGTGTGATCACCTTTGTTGATACCTTTTGTCTTTTCATGTGAATTTGAACTTCTGTCTGTGTCACTTGCTTTCAACCTGACAGTCTTCGTTTAGTGTCTCTTGTAAGGCAGGTTGGCTAACAGTGAATTTTCCCATTTCTGTTTATCTCAGAATGTCTATTTCACCTTCATTTTCTGAAAGTAGTTCTGCTGAACAGATTCTTGGTTAGCAGTTTTTATTCAACACTTTGACTACATCGACCCCATTGCCTTCTGTCCCCCAGCTTTTTTCTGATTAGAAGCCAACTCCTACTATTATTCAAGTTCCCTTGTCCATGATCTCAAGAGTTTCTATCTTTGTCTTTTTGACTGTGAGGCGTCTGGGTATGGACTTTGCTCCATTTTTCTTACTGGGTGTTTGTGGAGCTTTC